ACATTTTCTTGATTGATTGATGGGGTGGGTAGCCCACTGTGGCTGGTGCCTCCCCTGGGTAGGTGGTCCTGGGTTATGTAAGAAAGAAAGCTGAGTAGTCTGGAGGTAAGGGGATGTCTGCAAGTCAGAGAATAGCATTCCTCCATGGCTTTGGCTCAAGTTCCTGCCTTCAGGTTCCTGCCCTACTTGAATTCCTGCCCTGACTTCCCTTAGTGATGCACTATTATTGGGACATGTAAGCCAGACAAACCCTCCCCTCACCAAGTTTCTTTTGGTCACTTATTGTTTTGGTTTTATTTATCACAGCAATAGAAAGGAGGATTTGCAAAACCCAGAGACCACGAGCTTCACCCCTCTCTTTAAGATTCACATCTCATGCTTTCCCGTAGAGCGGCACATCTTTCACGCCTGTGTACCCACTGGAACACTTCTCCTGATCTCCACATGGCTATAACTCATCACAGCCATCAACTCGTAGCTCAGAAATTTTTTTTTATAGGAAGCTTTCTCAGATCCGATGATACTCATTTATCATTGCTATGACCAAATACAGGAAATAATTTAAAGGCCGGAGGATATCTTTTGGCTCATTATTTCAAAGATTTCAGTTAACCATCGTGGGACACTGTGGCAGAACATGGCCGCTTACCTTGCAGAATCCAGGAAGGAGAGAACACCGTGCTCTAGGGTCCTGTTTTCTGTTTTCGTTCCTTTATGTGGGTTCCAGGGATTGAAGGCGAGGCTTGCTCAGCAAGCGCTCCTGTCTGCTGAGCCATTTTGTCAGCTCCATCTTTAAATCATTAACATGTAAAAATGTGAGAAACAGCTTACAGGCTATCAATACACAATTCAATGAACTTTATGGGTCTGTTCCACAGAGTACTCTTCTATCACCATAAACACACAAATCTGAAAATCTCACTAAGGACCCCCCCCACACACACACACACACAGAGGCAGGGTCCTCATGTAGCTCAGGCTGGCCTTGAACTCAGTAGCTGGGGATGAACTTAACCTCCTGGTCCTCCTACCTCCACTCCCAGAGTGCTGGCATTACAGGTCTGTGCCACCATGCCTAGCTTTAAGTTTACAAAGCAATTCCATGTCATCTGTGATCTCATTTCTCTTGTTTGAAGCTGCAAAAATAACATGTTGATTCATTTTCCAAGTGACTACAGAATGTGGAAAAATTGATTTACTGATGTGTATGTAAATCTTGTCCATCTAACCATGCCCTGTGACCTGGGCCGGGCATATCTTCATGAAAAGGACTCTGTTCATCCTAATGGTTCTCATCTGTTGAATGTACACCACAAGGGTCACTGAGGGCGCTGCTGAGTGTACACCTCATCTACAGAACAATTAGAGTTTTCTCTGGTGGAACCCTCCAGGCCCCCCTTCTCTTTCAGTGAACTTGATGAGGTCATTCCTCAATGCCTATCCTGTTTTTATATGTGTGATTGATTGCATGAGTGATCCATGACTAATTACCCCAAACTTAGTGTCTTAAACAGCATAGATGGCCTAGTAATTAAGAGCAGGTACTGCTTTGGTGGAGGACCTGAGTTCAGTTCTCAGCACCCACAGTGAGCAGTTCATGAGCACCTATAACTTCAGCTCTCGGGGACCTGATGGCCTCTGGCCTTCTAAAGTGCTTACACCCACATGCACATGATCCCCCACATAAACATAAATGTAGATATGAATAAATATTAAAAGTTGCACACACCTCTAAGTTTCTGTGGTTGTGAAAGCTGTGTGTGGCTTAACTGGGTTCTCTAGTTCAAAGCCCCTCGGAAGGCTGCTAGAAAGCCAGGCTTGGATCACCTCACCTCAGTCTTTTTCTGAGGATGATTCATTTCCAAACTCACCCACATGGCTGTTGGCAACATTCAGTCCTTTGAAGGCTATGAGCTAGAGGCCATTGTTGGCTCCATGATACTTGGACCTCTATATAAACAACTTACCCACAGTGGCTGACTTCATCTTCCTGAGCAAAGAGAGGGAGGGAGGGGGAGGTGGGGAGAGAGGAAGAGAATGAGAATGTGAGGGATGAGTATTGAAGCTTTGTTCGACCTCATCTTTGAATCATGTATTGCTTTTGCCATATTGTGTGGAAATAAGTTAGTAGGACCTGGGAAGGCAGCTCCTTCAGTGAAGCACATGCCTTGCAAGTGTGAGGGTCTGAGTTTGATCCCTAGAATCCACATTTAAGAAGCCAGGCATGGGGCTGGAGAGATGGCTCAGAGGTTAAGAGCACCGACTGCTCTTCCAGAGGTCCTGAGTTCAATTCCCAGCAACCACATGGTGGCTCATAACCATCTGTAATGAGATCTGGCACCCTCTTCTGTATACATAATAAATAAATCTTAAAAAATATTAAAAAAAAAAAAGAAGAAGAAGCCAGGCATGGCGGCATGCACTTGTAATCCCAGCATCGGATGGATGGTTGGAGACGCTGGGTGGCTCACTGGTTGGCTCACCTCGTCTGCTTGACATGTTCCAGGCCAGCAAGGGACCCTGTCTCAAAAGAGCAAGGCAGCCGGTGCTTGAAGAGTACCCAGGATTGACCTCTGAGTTCCATATGCATGTGCACACACACTCACACATGCACACACACACACACACACACACACACACGCACACACACACACACACACACA